ATATTTCCGTTAGTAATTAAATATTAACAAAATTTTATTGACCCTCGCGGGATTCGAACTCGGGACCCAACGCACTGTAGACCAGTACGCTAACCACTGACCTACGCCACACACCTAATTTTCCTATATATCTTTAGCATGTTTTTCTTAATATTATAACCACAATCGATCTTAAACTTGTTTCGTAACAATTTTTTTAGAATATTTTCAATAAAAAAATTCTTCCAAAATCGACTCGTACGTTTATTCTTGTAAATAAATAATTAAAAATACTGTCAAATTAATAAAAAAAAAAATATTCTTAATTTCCCATATTCTGAAATTTTCTATTAAAAAAATAAGAAATAAATAAAAATAGAAAAGGAAAATTTAGTGAAAAATGAGAGGAAAGATAATATTTATGATTTATATACATGTATATAAAGAAAAAAAAAGAAAGAAAAATGGAAAACCTTCTTGCACCCTTTTTATACGATATGTGACTCAACTGGCGTAGAATGACTGATAAGAAAATCCCAGAGTTGGCAGACGTGATAGAAAAGGGGGATGTACGGTGAGGAGAGTGAGAGAAAGAGAGAAAAAGAGAGAGAGAGAGAAGGGGTATCAAAATATCTACATGGCACTGAACTAGGAAAGTGCCAGTTGGTGGCTTCTATATTGCTCTACATTTAGGTGCGTGATGTAAATATTTGAGAGAATTTACCGTTTGTTACCTAGACGGCATCGTTAAACTAAATTATTTTAGCGCCAAAAACCCAGACATTATTTATTCCCCCTCCCCTCTCTCTTAAATTTTACGCCAATTTTTAAATTATAAATTCTCTCCCACTCTTCATTTTGTATTTTACACTGTCAATTTATTTATAACATTTAATTTGTTACTTCATTATTATAAATTTAATTATTTTTAATTAATTTTAATAAATAAACTAATTACTAATTTCAATTCAATTTAAACAAAAATTTCCTTTTATTTACTTGATTTAAATTTTAACCCATTTTAAAAAAAAAAGTACCGATTAATTGAATATAGAAATTTATGTGTAAAAATCAGAGTAAAAACAAATTTTTAAATTCTTTTTTTGCGAGGATAATTCAGCAGCGCCTGTGGTATTGTCGACCCACCATGCATTAAAGCGGAAACATTAAAGATAATAGTTTTCCATGAAGAAAGGAAGGGAGACAATGTCGTGCATACGGGGGAAAAAAGTAACTGTTGCCATTGAACAGGCGCATAATGTTTCTAAATTTAGAAAAAAGAAATTTTTTTTTGCTACTTCCGTGTATAACAGATTGCTATCACAAAAGGGACAAATTCTCTCTCACTCTTTCTCTCACTTTCTCTTTTTCCTCCTCCACCCTGACTTCTAAAGTTCAACTTCACTAAGTATATTGCTTATTATTCAAGGAATTTTAAAACAAAAGCATCGATAATGACACTTTTGGAAAAACTGCCGCGCAAGACTGATTGCAATCAAACAGGAGCCGACTCTCCTGCTTTGTAAATTGACATTTAAATGGTGACACAGTTCAAATTTTTAATTATCTTACAATATAAAAAATAATAAATATTTAATAATTTAATAGTTAATTTAATTTTTTTATTTATTTCTTAACTTTATTTTTAATTTTAATAAAATAAATTTAATAATAAATGAAAGTATTAATAAAAAAAATTTAAATAAAATGAATATTTGTATTATTTCTTTTTTGAATTTAGCGCCAATTTAGTTCTTTAAATCGCCGCCTAGACGGCATGAAAATTCTCTCACAAACGAAATTAAACAAATGAACTACATGAATTATAATATAATACAATACCACCAGGTGCTAAGAAATTGTTAATTTATTTTTAATATTTATTAGTTTTAGTTTTAATAAAATTTTAATTTTATTAAAGTAAAGTGAAGTAAAGTAAAAAATAAAAAATACTAGGAAATAAAAATTAGAAAAAGAGAAATTGGTATTTAAAAAAAAGAGGAGAAAAAAAATTCATAAAGTGACCATAACACTATTTTCGTTGGATCCTTAAATGCAAATGTTGAACGGAAAGCTCTTTTACAAGGGGCCAAGCACCCCTGTTGAATGACTATATCTATACGACCGTGTGTCTCCCGTTACGCTCGTCCTTCCCACCTTTCTCTCTCTCTCTCTCTTTCTCTCAAAAAAGAACACCTTACTTGCAAATGCATTAAAATTTAATCTTCTATTCTTACATCGTGGTGTTATACAAAGTCTGTACAGCAATATAATGCAAATGTAATTAGGGAATTCAATTCCAGTAGGACAGACTTTAATTTCCCCCCACCCCTTCCTTATACTCCTTTTCAAGTTAGTCACTTTACACAGAGCCCTTCCTTTTCATTACCACGAAATCTGAACATGTACTTAATGAAATTCCCAAGGCTATACATAACGAACAAATTGTGGAATTCGTGGTTGTAAACGGTAAATCAGAAATTGCTTGTGTGACTCTCTCTCTCATCTGGTACATTTCTCCATTGCATTGGATGGCGAAGTATATATAGGGAGGGTGAGAGAGAGAAAGTCAAGCCAAAACCCTGGGAAACTTGTGTATCATAGGGCGTAGGCAACCCGTTTTACTTCACCGCGCAGACGCAAATTTTCTTCATTTTCGACTTTTTCGAAAGTAATTTCTATTTTAAAAATGGAAAAATAAATTTTTCAAAGTTTTATGTCTTTTTGTTTTTTACTACGCTTTTCTTTCTTTATGTGATTTTTTACCTGATTTTATATTTTTAAAATAAATTACCTACTTTTTTCTCGAAATTTGTATAAATTAGACAAAATTTCGCCAAAAATTAATTAATAACAAATTTTTCTTTACTACTTTTTACGATATTATTTTTCTATTATAAATAATATTAGTAAATTAGTAATAAAAATCCCTAATAACAATAATAATAATAATAATAATAATAATAATAATAATAATAATAATAATAATAATAATAATAATAATAATAATAATAATAATAATAATACACTGAAAAAAATTTTTTTTATCCAAAATAATCGTTTAATTGTCTTATCAAATAAATATTTACTTGAATCAAATAATTTTTATTCAAATCAATTAAATGGTGTTTGAACCAAAGATTTCAGTATTTGAAGCAATTACTATTTAATAGACTCAAATAAATTCTGTTCAGTATAATAATAATAATAAATTTGGAAAATTAAAATTACAAATAAGTTTTGTCTCAGAATAATTTCGTAAATATTTGAAATATTAAAATAATAATACATAATATAAAAAAAACTTTTATTTTAAAGAGAAATTAATTTGATTTAAGTCTATTATAAAAAAAAAATTTACTTGAATCAAAGAATGTATTTACTCGAGTCAAATAAATATTTACTTGAACGAAATAAATATTTACTTAAATCAAATAAATTATATTTGAATCAATGATTTCAGTATTTGAAGCAATTACTATTCAATTGACTCATAAAATTTTTTTCAGTATGATAATAATAATGATAATAATAATAAAAACCATAATAATAAAATAATAAATTTGAAATATTAAAATAATAATAATAATAATAATAATATTAATAATAATAATCATAATAATAACTTTTATTTTAATGAGAAAATTTGATTTAAATAACCGACAACTTGTCTATTATCAGAAATAAATATTAACTTGAATCAAACAAATATTTACTCGAATCAAATAAATATTTACTTGAATCAAATATAATTTTACTTAAATCAAATAAATTGTATTTGAAACTAAAATTGTCTAAGTAAATATTTATTTGACAATAGACAAGTAATCGATTATTTGCATCAAATAAATTTATTTTTTCACTATAATATTTACTATTTATTCTATTCTTTAAATTTATTTACTTTTATTTATTCTAAATACACAGATAAATTTAAAAATTTATATTTTATAAAAATCTACTTTTCTATAATAGAAATTTTACAAAAATTACTTTTATCAACTGCTTTTTTTTTGAAAAACCAATTGTATTTTTATTTATTTTTCGTTATCAAGAAAAAATAAAAACAAAAATTTTTTTATATCAAATTTTTTTTTGTCACAAAAGAAAATCAGAAATCTAGAAAAGTTTCGAGTTTTCTTCTATTTGTCTCTATATAGAAGTATCGGAAACTTTGTTTCTTATTATACTTTTATCTTTATTGTAACTTCTGTTTTTTCTTTTCTTTTTTTTTTAACATAAAAAAAGTCTCCAAAGTCATTTCATCTTTTCCAAACGGTTTTGCAACTTTCGTTTTAGAAACATATTTATATTGCAATAAACATTGAAAAAATAAATATAATAAAAACAAAATATTATAATGTTCATCAATATCAGTTCCTAAATAATTAAAAATAAAAAAAATCATTTTTTTCAAGAATATTAACATTATCTAAATTACAATTAGAATATTTTTGTATTTGTATTTTTTAATACAAAATTAGAATATTCAAATTAATAATAAAAGAATACAAACGATAATAGTTATAAATAAACAAAAGAAAGAAATTTTAATAACAACGAAAATTAATGTTATTAAACTTTCCTTTTTTTGTTTATTTATAACTATTATTGTTTGTTTTCTTTTATAATTTTTTTTATAAAATAAATCAAAATAATTATTAAAAATAATTTATTACAACTATTATTTATTTATTTATTCAATTTTTGAAGTATTTAAAAAAAATATTATACTATTATTATTATTATTATTATTATTTATCATTGCCTCTAATATTATTTATTATATTATTTTTAGTTCGATTTTTATTATTCATTTTTCAGTCCAAAGTTTGAATTTAAAAAATATTTTAAAAAAAGTCAATTGTATTGTTTAAAAAATATAGTTTCTACTGGTGCTACATTATTATTTATTAATAAAAAAATTTTTTCAGATAAAAAATACTTAAATACTTTAGATCATAAATTTTCGGTTTTTGTTTTTCAAAAAAAAAAAAGTAAAATAAAATTTCTAATTTCAGACACGTTTGCGAGCAAAGCGGCTGCTTGCCAGGACAAATACGCGGACGCAAGTGTCGGCAACGTGACCGGAAGTAACGCGGTGAACGTCTTCCTGGGAATTGGCGTCGCATGGAGCATAGCTGCTATTTACCATGCCTTCCACGGGCAACCATTCAAGGTCGAAACCGGAAAGTAAGTTCATTTTTTGTCAGTAAAAAAAAAAAATTGAAAAATAGCCCAGTGGCTTAGCTGCCCGACTCGTAATACCAACGACCAGAGTTCGATTCCTCTCGAAAACGAATTTTTTTTTTCTCAACAAACTCTAAATTATTTTTTTCTTAAATAAATTCCGTTCGTAAATAGAAGAAATCAAAAGCTAACCGAAATGTAGTATCAAAAATAACCGAAATAGAATAAATTTTACGAAAATAGGACAGAAATTAAAAAAAAAACTTTTTTTTGAAATAATTAAATAAAAGGAAAAATGCAGATAGAAGCAAAATATTGAATTGAGATGTGAAAAAAAGAAATCTCTCCGCACTAAATGGAGAAAATGCTTCTGATAACAAGTTAACCTCTTTAGTGATATGAACGACTTCCCCCTTTTATTCTCTCTCTCCCTTTCAATATTCCGTTTTCTTTCAAGTCCATTAAGAAAGAAGTTGAAAAAACTTGTCTTAAGGGGGTGGAATTCACATAAAAGGGTCGATTTATAAGGGGATGAAATGTATCATAAATTTTTTATAACTCATCATAACATCACAACAACTATTTCACCATAAAAAAAAATTCTTTCCCCATATTTTCCCCACTAAAGTGAAACATCTCGATAAAATGCATTATCTCTTATATCGAAAAATTCCTACCTTTCGTTTCACTTAACAATGAAATTTATTATGTAGTCGACAAAAGAGGTGAAAAATAAGATTTCAAAAAAATAAATAAATAAATAAAATGTTAATAATTATTTAAATTTAAATTTTAAATATTTTCCAATAAAATTATTTAAATTAATTACATTTGTCGAGGAATTCAATTATTTTCAAAAATGTTTTCTTTAACTATTAGCTAATTTAAATATATAATTTATTTTTTATATTTATTTAGAAATTAACAGGCAAAAAGACCATGAATAATATTTTATTATATATATTTTTTGCTAGTAAAAAGAATAAAATAATAAATAGAGAAAATATATATTTTTTTTAATAAATATGTTTCAGTGAATTTAACCTTTTTCCTACAGAAGCAATAAAAATGCCAATTTGTAAGCTTTGAGGATAAAGTCAATGCGACTGTATGTTGAATAGAAAATGCTAGAAACGATTTTTTTTTCTTTAAAAAGATAAAAAAAAAGCTTGAACAATATTATAGAACAGAGGGGGTCTAGGGGTTGGGTTATGTGAGGTCACAGAAGAATGTAATCCAATAATCTTTACTTTTCTATCTTCTTTTGTGCCGGAGAGTACATGTATTTAAGGATACATTTTCGATATACAGATAAAAATCGATTTTAAATCCACCCCCCTAACGATCTTTTTACATAAATACTTTTCTATCTTCTTTATATATAATATAAAAAAGTGAACTTTGATATTATGAACAAAAGATGAACAAAAATCCTCTATATAATAAATTTTTATTTTATCCAGAAATAATATCGAGAGAAATTGAGAATTTTTTCTATAATTTTTATAATAATTTTTATAGTAATAAGAAAAGGTTTTTATAAAATTCTTCGCAAGAATTAAATTACTTTTTCTAATAATAAAATTCTTTGCAAGAATTAAATTATTTTTACTAATATAATAAAATTCTTTGAGATTGAATTACTTAGAAAAATTTTTTTTAATATTCTTTTCAAGTATTCAATTATTTTCATATTAAATATACATTTATTTATATATTTACTTTATATATCTATTGATGGTAATAAAATTAACAACCATTTTATTCTGCGAATGAAAATAGAAAAGTATAAAATACATTAAAATAGGGGACGAAAGAGGCCTTTTAGTATTGGAATAAAAGAGAATTGGCTCCTTGTGTACATAAAGTGAGCGCAACTATCAATATAAGTACATCGACGATAGGGGAGAGAAAAAAAGCACCCTACTCTCGCGCTATTATAGTAGAAAACGTAGGTAGCAGTAAAAAGGACTTTTTTTTATCCTACATTACTGTATCACACTCGTTTAAATTTACGATCCATTAATGTCGACAACCGCCTCGCAATATTACGATATAAGACTTTCTCTCTCTCTCTCTCTCTCTATTTTTTTTTCTCTTTCTTTTTTTCCTAATTTGACCCATGATTAGTATACTATTCACGATCCATTAATGTCGGCAACCCGCTATACATCAAAGTCGAGGGAAAAGCCCTTAAACAGGAACATTGCACCTGTAACACGATTTTTTCTCTCTACTTTTCTGGCTTATATATATCGTTTGTCCCATTCACCCATAATTTTTCTCTTTTAATATCACTCCACCAGTCGTTTAATATTAGTCTTAATAAAATTTGCGAAAAAAAAATTCAAATTACATACTCAAACTATTACAAATGACTTTTTACTATTTATTTTCACTTATTAAACGTCTCCTTACACGGAGAGAAAATATATATATATATATATATATATATATATATTACATTTTGTAGATTTTACAATTTGGAGAAAAAGTGCAACAAACCGAAATTTTGACTTTAAAAGTATCAAATTTATTTAAAATTGCCTTAAAAATTCTTCAACACCTAGTATTTATTTATTTATACACTCATCTACTGCTTAATTCTGACTTTACATGTGCAGAAAAAGAGCCTAAAAATAATAAAGCAAAACGCCAAATAAAAGAATACAAAATTTAGATTTTTCGAAAATATTATAGGGGTAGTTTTTTTAATAAAGAGTGAAGCCAAAAAATTGAGTAAAGTGTTTTTGAAGAGCCCAAAAATATTGAAGCTAAATGCCATAAAAGAGAAGAAAAAATGTTGAATTTTAAGAAATTCGGTTTTTTGAATTTTTTCGAATTTTCGATAATTTTGGATTTTTTACCAAAGAGTTGAGACTATTAATTAAGTAAACTATTTTCCAAAAGCACAAAAATAATGAAGCTAAATGCCATAAAAGAGAAGAAAAAATGATAAATTTTAAGAAATTCGGTTTTTTGAATTTTTGATAGTTTTCGATAATTTTGGATTTTTTACCAAAGAGTCGAGACTATTAATTAAGTAAAGTATTTTTCAAAAGCACAAAAATAATAAAGCTAAATCCCATAAAAGAGAGAAAAAAATGTTGAATTTTATGAAAATCTGTTTTTTGAATTTTTTCGAATTTTCGATAATTTTGGATTTTTTACCAAAGAGTCGAGACTATTAATTAAGTAAACTATTTTCCAAAAGCACAAAAATAATGAAGCTAAATGCCATAAAAGAGAAGAAAAAATGTTAAATTTTGAGAAATTCGGTTTTTTGAATTTTTTCGAATTTTCGATAATTTTGGATTTTTTACCAAAGAGTCGAGACTATTAATTAAGTAAACTATTTTCCAAAAGCACAAAAATAATGAAGCTAAATGCCATAAAAGAGAAGAAAAAATGTTTAATTTTAAGAAATTCGGTTTTTTGAATTTTTTCGAATTTTCGATAATTTTGGATTTTTTACCAAAGAGTTGAGACTATTAATTAAGTAAAGTATTTTCCAAAAGCACAAAAATAATGAAGCTAAATGCCATAAAAGAGAAGAAAAAATGATGAATTTTAAGAAATTCGGTTTTTTGAATTTTTGATAGTTTTCGATAATTTTGGATTTTTTACCAAAGAGTCGAGACTATTAATTAAGTAAAGTATTTTCCAAAAGCACAAAAATACTGAAGCTAAATGCCATAAAAGAGAAGAAAAAATGTTGAATTTTAAGAAATTCGGTTTTTTGAATTTTTTCGAATTTTCGATAATTTTGGATTTTTTACCAAAGAGTCGAGACTATTAATTAAGTAAAGTATTTTCCAAAAGCACAAAAATAATGAAGCTAAATGCCATAAAAGAGAAGAAAAAGTGTTGAATTTTAAGAAATTCTGTTTTTTGAATTTTTTCGAATTTTCGATAATTTTGGATTTTTTACCAAAGAGTTGAGACTATTAATTAAGTAAAGTATTTTCCAAAAGCACAAAAATAATTAAGCTAAATCCTATAAAAGAGAAGAAAAAATGTTGAATTTTAAGAAATTCGGTTTTTTGAATTTTTTCGAATTTTCGATAATTTTGGATTTTTTACCAAAGAGTCGAGACTATTAATTAAGTAAACTATTTTCCAAAAGCACAAAAATAATGAAGCTAAATGCCATAAAAGAGAAGAAAAAATGTTGAATTTTAAGAAATTCGGTTTTTTGAATTTTTTCGAATTTTCGATAATTTTGGATTTTTTACCAAAGAGTCGAGACTATTAATTAAGTAAACTATTTTCCAAAAGCACCAAAATAATGAAGCTAAATGCCATAAAAGAGAAGAAAAAATGTTGAATTTTAAGAAATTCGGTTTTTTGAATTTTTTCGAATTTTCGATAATTTTGGATTTTTTACCAAAGAGTCAAGACTATTAATTAAGTAAAGTATTTTTCAAAAGCACAAAAATAATAAAGCTAAATCCCATAAAAGAGAGGAAAAAATGTTGAATTTTATGAAAATCTGTTTTTTGAATTTTTTCGAATTTTCGATAATTTTGGATTTTTTACCAAAGAGTCGAGACTATTAATTAAGTAAACTATTTTCCAAAAGCACAAAAATACTGAAGCTAAATGCCATAAAAGAGAAGAAAAAATGTTGAATTTTAAGAAATTCGGTTTTTTGAATTTTTTCGAATTTTCGATAATTTTGGATTTTTTACCAAAGAGTCGAGACTATTAATTAAGTAAAGTATTTTCCAAAAGCACAAAAATAATGAAGCTAAATGCCATAAAAGAGAAGAAAAAGTGTTGAATTTTAAGAAATTCTGTTTTTTGAATTTTTTCGAATTTTCGATAATTTTGGATTTTTTACCAAAGAGTTGAGACTATTAATTAAGTAAAGTATTTTCCAAAAGCACAAAAATAATTAAGCTAAATCCTATAAAAGAGAAGAAAAAATGTTGAATTTTAAGAAATTCGGTTTTTTGAATTTTTTCGAATTTTCGATAATTTTGGATTTTTTACCAAAGAGTCGAGACTATTAATTAAGTAAAGTATTTACCAAAAGCACAAAAATAATGAAGCTTAATGCCATAAAAGAGAAGAAAAAATGTTGAATTTTAAGAAATTCGGTTTTTTGAATTTTTTCGAATTTTCGATAATTTTGGATTTTTTACCAAAGAGTCGAGACTATTAATTAAGTAAAGTATTTACCAAAAGCACAAAAATAATGAAGCTAAATGCCATAAAAGAGAAGAAAAAGTGTTGAATTTTAAGAAATTCTGTTTTTTGAATTTTTTCGAATTTTCGATAATTTTGGATTTTTTACCAAAGAGTTGAGACTATTAATTAAGTAAAGTATTTTCCAAAAGCACAAAAATAATTAAGCTAAATCCTATAAAAGAGAAGAAAAAATGTTGAATTTTAAGAAATTCGGTTTTTTGAATTTTTTCGAATTTTCGATAATTTTGGATTTTTTACCAAAGAGTCGAGACTATTAATTAAGTAAACTATTTTCCAAAAGCACAAAAATAATGAAGCTAAATGCCATAAAAGAGAAGAAAAAATGTTGAATTTTAAGAAATTCGGTTTTTTGAATTTTTTCGAATTTTCGATAATTTTGGATTTTTTACCAAAGAGTTGAGACTATTAATTAAGTAAACTATTTTCCAAAAGCACCAAAATAATGAAGCTAAATGCCATAAAAGAGAAGAAAAAATGTTGAATTTTAAGAAATTCGGTTTTTTGAATTTTTTCGAATTTTCGATAATTTTGGATTTTTTACCAAAGAGTCAAGACTATTAATTAAGTAAAGTATTTTTCAAAAGCACAAAAATAATAAAGCTAAATCCCATAAAAGAGAGGAAAAAATGTTGAATTTTATGAAAATCTGTTTTTTGAATTTTTTCGAATTTTCGATAATTTTGGATTTTTTACCAAAGAGTCGAGACTATTAATTAAGTAAACTATTTTCCAAAAGCACAAAAATACTGAAGCTAAATGCCATAAAAGAGAAGAAAAAATGTTGAATTTTAAGAAATTCGGTTTTTTGAATTTTTTCGAATTTTCGATAATTTTGGATTTTTTACCAAAGAGTCGAGACTATTAATTAAGTAAAGTATTTTCCAAAAGCACAAAAATAATGAAGCTAAATGCCATAAAAGAGAAGAAAAAGTGTTGAATTTTAAGAAATTCTGTTTTTTGAATTTTTTCGAATTTTCGATAATTTTGGATTTTTTACCAAAGAGTTGAGACTATTAATTAAGTAAAGTATTTTCCAAAAGCACAAAAATAATTAAGCTAAATCCTATAAAAGAGAAGAAAAAATGTTGAATTTTAAGAAATTCGGTTTTTTGAATTTTTTCGAATTTTCGATAATTTTGGATTTTTTACCAAAGAGTCGAGACTATTAATTAAGTAAAGTATTTACCAAAAGCACAAAAATAATGAAGCTAAATGCCATAAAAGAGAAGAAAAAATGTTGAATTTTAAGAAATTCGGTTTTTTGAATTTTTTCGAATTTTCGATAATTTTGGATTTTTTACCAAAGAGTCGAGACTATTAATTAAGTAAAGTATTTACCAAAAGCACAAAAATAATGAAGCTAAATGCCATAAAAGAGAAGAAAAAATGTTGAATTTTAAGAAATTCGGTTTTTTGAATTTTTTCGAATTTTCGATAATTTTGGATTTTTTACCAAAGAGTCGAGACTATTAATTAAGTAAAGTATTTTCCAAAAGCACAAAAATAATGAAGCTAAATGCCATAAAAGAGAAGAAAAAGTGTTGAATTTTAAGAAATTCTGTTTTTTGAATTTTTTCGAATTTTCGATAATTTTGGATTTTTTACCAAAGAGTTGAGACTATTAATTAAGTAAAGTATTTTCCAAAAGCACAAAAATAATTAAGCTAAATCCTATAAAAGAGAAGAAAAAATGTTGAATTTTAAGAAATTCGGTTTTTTGAATTTTTTCGAATTTTCGATAATTTTGGATTTTTTACCAAAGAGTCGAGACTATTAATTAAGTAAAGTATTTACCAAAAGCACAAAAATAATGAAGCTAAATGCCATAAAAGAGAAGAAAAAATGTTGAATTTTAAGAAATTCGGTTTTTTGAATTTTTTCGAATTTTCGATAATTTTGGATTTTTTACCAAAGAGTCGAGACTATTAATTAAGTAAAGTATTTACCAAAAGCACAAAAATAATGAAGCTAAATGCCATAAAAGAGAAGAAAAAATGTTGAATTTTAAGAAATTCGGTTTTTTGAATTTTTTCGAATTTTCGATAATTTTGGATTTTTTACCAAAGAGTCGAGACTATTAATTAAGTAAACTATTTTCCAAAAGCACAAAAATACTGAAGCTAAATGCCATAAAAGAGAAGAAAAAATGTTGAATTTTAAGAAATTCGGTTTTTTGAATTTTTTCGAATTTTCGATAATTTTGGATTTTTTACCAAAGAGTCGAGACTATTAATTAAGTAAAGTATTTTCCAAAAGCACAAAAATAATGAAGCTAAATGCCATAAAAGAGAAGAAAAAGTGTTGAATTTTAAGAAATTCTGTTTTTTGAATTTTTTCGAATTTTCGATAATTTTGGATTTTTTACCAAAGAGTTGAGACTATTAATTAAGTAAAGTATTTTCCAAAAGCACAAAAATAATTAAGCTAAATCCTATAAAAGAGAAGAAAAAATGTTGAATTTTAAGAAATTCGGTTTTTTGAATTTTTTCGAATTTTCGATAATTTTGGATTTTTTACCAAAGAGTCGAGACTATTAATTAAGTAAAGTATTTACCAAAAGCACAAAAATAATGAAGCTAAATGCCATAAAAGAGAAGAAAAAATGTTGAATTTTAAGAAATTCGGTTTTTTGAATTTTTTCGAATTTTCGATAATTTTGGATTTTTTACCAAAGAGTCGAGACTATTAATTAAGTAAAGTATTTACCAAAAGCACAAAAATAATGAAGCTAAATGCCATAAAAGAGAAGAAAAAATGTTGAATTTTAAGAAATTCGGTTTTTTGAATTTTTTCGAATTTTCGATAATTTTGGATTTTTTACCAAAGAGTCGAGACTATTAATTAAGTAAAGTATTTACCAAAAGCACAAAAATAATGAAGCTAAATGCCATAAAAGAGAAGAAAAAATGTTGAATTTTAAGAAATTCGGTTTTTTGAATTTTTCCAAATTTTTAATAATTTTGGATTTTTTACCAAAGAGTTAGGAATATTGAATGAGTAAAGTATTTTTCAAAAGCACAAAAGTAATGAATCTAAATGCCATCTACTAGAAGAAAAAATGTTAAATTTTAAGAAATTCGGTTTTTCGCAAATTTTATAGGGGTATTTTTTTTAAATTAAATTTTTTCAGTAATTTTAATAAAAATCCCTGACTTTTTCCTGATTTCCCTGACCCGTTATAACCCTGATGTAAGAGGTTAATTTTAATTTATAAATTTTCATAAAATTGTTTAATAAGAGTGAAAATCAATTTAAAATTTTATAAAATGAAATTTGAGAAATAAAATAAAAAAAATAAAAGAAAATTACAATTAAAAAATGTAATAATTATCGTTTGTTTGCAGTTTGGCCTTTTCCGTGACATTGTTCTGCTCGGAAGCCTGTCTAGTGATAGTGGTTCTGATGCTGAGAAGATCGAAAGCCATCGGTGGTGAATTGGGTGGACCAATGGTACCGAGAATTATCACTTCCATGTTTCTGTTTTCCTTATGGCTGTTCTACCTCGTGATGTCTACTCTCGAGGCCTACGGCGTTATCAAGGGCTTCTAAATTGCCGCAATTTTTATTCAATTTTTTTCTTTTCTTTTTTTTGTCTCCTTTTTTTATTAATTTCCAATTATAAATAATAATGTATGGCCTATCACCACCGATGTCAACAAACGCATAAAATTATTCTTTGTGCTCAAGAAATACACTTCTCCGTAAGTATTCATTTTTTTTTTCATTTTGCCTACTCGCCATAATAAATAAATTATTAAATTTTTTAATTAATTAAATAATTAATTTATTAATTTTTTCTATATCTTTATTTTAATATTTATAACAAAAATGTTATTTACTTAATATTATTATTATTGAATTATTTATAGATATGATAAAATCTTGATAAATATTAATATATTTAATGTCGTATGGAATTCATTACTATAAATTATTTATTATTAGAAGTTTCGTAAAATATTTTTGATCTTTTTGTTTTTAATAAGTTTTGTTCTATTTAAAAACGAACAAAAATTTATCAAGCCAATTTATCGATTATCAAAAAATATGCGCGCAGACGGAATATATATCATTCGAAGTCGGAGATAAATTGCTCGTGTGGCTCCGATTTAGTTTCAGCAAAGTGTACAACTTTTGGAATTAGTTAAACTTTCTTTTCAAGATGGTACTTGAAAAACTTTATATTCCGGAATTGCACCAAAAAAAAAACGAAACGACAATATTTTAAAAATTTGATTTACGTGCAAATTTTATTTCCAAGATATATTATAAATGCTAATGTACAATTGAACTTATTTTCCTGCAAATAAAAAAATAACCCAAAGAAAAAAAAATCGCAAATAATTAAATTACTTGAATCTCAAGAAATGCCGTTGTTTACATTACTATTTTTTTCTGTTTCTACTATTTTACTTCTATTTTAAAGTTTATTTTTTACTTTATTTTTTTTTTATTTCTCAACGAATATTTTTATTTTCTGGCATTTAAAATTTCAATAGTTTTTTTACGAAGCTATTTTTAAATATGCTTGATATAAAATAATTGTGACATAATTATAACAAGTTGGAATTTAAAAAACAATTACAGGAACCTAATTAATCATATATAGACTGATATAAGCACGTCTGCACAGTGAACAATAGCGAGATAATTAAACAATGTGGATCACAAACCAATAGACGATACACAATGGTCGCTATTAATTTTCATCCGATGCAAAGTAAATCAATACGTTCATTTTCATTTAATTAAAACTTATAGGTAAACATAAAATTTCAATTTATTTTTATTTATGTGGAATGAAACCAATAATTATGCACTATAATTAATAATAATAAAAAGAAAAATAATAATAAATTATTTCTAAAAATTACAACTGCAATTTTTCAATACAATTTTAATAAAATTGACGTCAAGAATTCAATTACTTTCATTTAATGAAAAATTCTCGCTGAAATTAAATTATTTTCAAAAATTTTAATAAAAATTTCCATTAAATTCAATTATTCAAAAAAAAAAAAATGTTAATAACATTCTAAATTTCTTCGCAAAAATTAAATTATTTTCATCAAAAGAATTCAATTATTTTTTAAATCTTTTATAAAAGTCTTGAAAAAAAATCCAATTATTTTTTAAAAATTTTAAGAAAATTTTTCGTAAGAATTAAATTATTTTCTATACAATTTTAATAAAATTTTTCGAAAGAATTGAATTATTTTGAAAAATTTCCATGAAATTCTTCGCAAAAATTCAATTATTTTTTAAAATTGTAACTGAAATTTTTTTTTAAATCAATTCTTATCAAAAAATTGTACGAAAATTGAATGATTCAAATACAAAAATAAGTGACAAAATAATTGATTATTTCAAAAAATTGTAACTGTAACTCAACTTATAGATTTTTTTTAATTAGAGAAAAAAAAATTCGTAGACTATTTAAGATTTTCAATAATTTAATATTGTTTATTACTTTGGATAAAATTTTTCCTATTTTACTGAAAATCCTGTTATACTATTAATTATTTAATAAAAATTAAATTTATTTTTGTATTCAAATCACAAATTATTATCACATCATTATAATCCATTTAATAAAAATAAATTTAAAAAAATAGAAATTACTACAACGGCAGATGTTGAGATTACATAGAAAAAAAATTAACTACTACATTAGAATTTCCTGGCCGTAGGCAATCCACTTTCTTTGCGTGTACAACGGGTTGCTCGTTAAAGGGGTCAACCGCAAAACTCAACTAATCTCATCAAGTCTCCATCTCTTAAATTTAATTCAAGTAGTAGTTCATAATTTAAAAGAGTTGAGATTTCTTTATTATTAGGTAAACTCGCACACCGCAAGCATATTTTAAAAAAAAGAAGAAAAAAAAACTTGTTGGATTGCTCTCTTTTAACGCGATAAAATTTAAAAAAAAAATAAATATATAAACAGTTCCAATTTCATTTGCGCGAAAAAAAGTGTCAATTTTCCCACGTCGACAAAAAATGTACTATTAAAAATGTTTCAACTACACTGCAAGTTTTTAAAAAAATATTTATCTCCATACTTTTAATTTTTTAAAAGTACTTTTTTCATTTGATGTTTTTAATTTAATTTCGCTTTAGGTAAATTATTATGACAAATAGATTTTAAAGTGACGACAAAAATTTCTATTGTTTAATTTCCTACACTTTAATTTTGCAATTAATTATTTAGTTAATTAAATAAATAATTCATTAATTGTTTTTGCCATTAGTTATTTAATTAATTATACAATTAATTATTTAATTACTTATGCAATTTTTGTAATTAATTAATTAATTAAAGTATTAATTAATTAATTAAAGTATTAATTAATTATTAACTATTTAGTTAATTAAATAATAATTAATTAATTACTTTTGGCATTAGTTATTTAATTAATTATACAATTAGTTATTTAATTACTCATGCAATTGTTTAATTAATTAATTAATTAAAGTATTAATTAATTATTAATTTTAATTTTTAATTATAATAAAATTCGAAAAAAATAAAATTCCTTCCAATTTTAAATAATAATTATTTTTCAGAAGACAGAATGGTGCATGGAATTAACAAGAATGAGAGATTCATCAGTTGATCAGCATTTGCGACCCATCGAATTTATTTAAACAAAACAAAAAAAAACGAGAGAGAGAAAGATAAAGTGTGACTTTTAGCGGCGATCTTAGGGATTCAATTTAAATAAATAAATAAAGAAAATAGAAACAAAAATCGAATTTTAGATCAGAGAAGAAAATAATGTACGTTTTTGTGTATAAATTTTCGCCTCAAAGAAACATTATTATTAGTAAAAATAAATTACGGAGTTTAAGTATAAAGAAAAATGTAATAAAAAAAAAGTATTAGACGATAATAGTTATTTTTTGCACATTCAGTTGTAATATACATATATAAATATATAAATAATAGATATAAAAAAAAATTTTTGACAGCGTCGTCAAACTTCTCGTTTACAAAACGAATTTAGATAATAAGTTTTCATGAATCGAGAGAGAGAAAGAAAGCGTAGGTAATTAATAATTTTTATTTTTAATTAAAATTCAATGACATGAATAGAAAGAAAGAAAAAAAAGCGAATGGAATTTATTGTAATAATATAGGGAGATGAGAATATCTTCTTTTTGTTTTTTTTTTGCATTTTGCGATTAATAATTTTTCTTCCTTCAAAACATCGACCATTGATCGAATGTATATTAACATTTTTCAGGGTTTTTATCACTGCCTTCGATCATTGGACGTAAATTGTATGAAAATATTTTCTTTTTAATATTTTCATTATAAAATTTAGAATTTTACTTTACAATCTTTTTTTAATAAAATAATTTTTTTTTTTTTTGAATATTGTAAACAATAGAGTTTAAAATATTTAATTCCCGCAATTATACATATGAAAATCTATAAATTGTGGATTTAAATTAATTCCTTTGAAGAGGATTTTCGATTTTTTTGTCGAAAATAATTTTAATAATATAAATAATTTATGGACGAGATTATATTTATTATAAACTCAGATATGTAATTAGCGAATACTCATTACTTAATTTATTTATAAAAAATTACGAAAATTTATAGTGTATCCTTATCAAAATTGTTTATTTTTTATTTCGATTGTATACTAATTATTTAAATAATTATCCGTTTTTACTTATTATTACTATTTTATTATTATTTCATTATTTTTTTTTTGCAGTCGGAAGTGTAAAATCTGCATAATTATTAAATTTATTTTTTAGTTATTAACTTGTTGATTATCAAAATAAAATAGACAGTTGCCTTTGCGAATATTTTCATAAAAGAAGAACGAAAATCGGATCTTAATTTTTGCATTAATTAAAAACAAAAAAATTTAAATGTTAATACAATATTATACCTCTGATTCATCAAAAGAAGGATTTAATTTTTTTTAACAAAGTTAATTAATTAATTAAAAAAAACAAAATTAATATGAAAATAAATAGTATTTAAATATAATAATTCTGATTGTGTAATTTTTCAAAAAGAAAAGAACCCAACTAAGAGAAAAACTACAAAGATTATAATTTTCATGAGAAAATAAAAGCAAATTTAAATATCTTCTTGACAGTTTTATTCTACGATTTGTAAGATTCGTGACTAAAATATTTCCAATTTTTATTTAAATAGAAAAGGAATTTATTTATTTGAATTTAAAATATCCAAACAATATTTTACACACATGAAAAAATAGTAATAAAAGAATAGATATTTTTAAACTTAATTGAATACTTCTTTAATGAATGAAAATAAATTCGAGCGGATAAACAAATGAAATTATTTAGATTTTATAGAGAGAGAGAGAGAGAAATAAAAAATAATAATTCTTTTTTATAATATAGAAATTTGATATTTTCATGAAGGAAATATAATAGAAAAACGAAATGAATAGAAAAATGTACATGTTAAATTAAATCATTTTGTATGTCTCTCGTTCCTGGTTGTATTTTTTATAAATATACACACCAAGGAGAGTAAAAAAAATGATCCAGTGAAATAATAGTTGTTTTGATAACAATGAGAATCAAGTTTAAAAGAAAAATCTATGTATTGTACTTAAAAAAAACAAAAATAGCCTTTATGCTATTGACAACTCTACAGCAAAGCGTCAAAGTGATAATCCGTAAAAAAAAAGAGATCGCGTTATTCGTTCATCAAGTGTGATAGTTACGAATTATTAGTCTAATCGCATTAATATTAAAGTGTCTTGTCTGACCCAAAAATGAAAAAATTTGATTCTTTATTTTATTCTTTAGACGGAATTTCATTAATTTTATTTATTGAATAAAGTAATTTAATTTTTTATTCTTCCCAATGGGAAATGGCCATTAGTCTACCATTGGTGCATTAATGGCCCAATATTGGAAGCCATTGGTTTTCTCTAGGTTTATTATTGGCACCCAATAATGGACCACTAATGGTAAAATCGTGGGATGTCCACGCCGATGCCAATAATTGGCAAACCATTATTGGCACATTATTGGCTGCCATTAAAAAACCAATAATAAAAAAAAAATTTTTTTATTAAATTTTATTAAATAATAAATTTATTTATTTATTTAATAATTATTTTATTTATTATTATTTATTATTATTAAAAATATTAATTTTTTTAATTAATTATTTTATAGAAATGGGTATTATTTTCTATCACATCGAAATGTGAATAACCCATTCGTTCAGAGTCTAAAAATTATTTACCTCACATCCATCAGTGCAAAAATAGGAGAGGACGGGCAGAATAAAATTCTACAAATATTCGTGAGAATGCTGCCTCTTTATATACTATTCAAGTTTCATGTTAGTTGCGAGAGAGTTTGAAACAACACCTCCTACGGAGCGTTGAGCGAACTACATACTTACTACATGATAATTTCTGCAGCGTCGGTAAGTAATTGTATGTAGTTCGCTCAACGCTCCGTAGGAGGTGTTGTTTCAAACTCTCTCGCAACTAACATGAAACTTGAAAAGTATATAAGGAGGCAGCATTCTCACGAATATTTGTAGAATTTTATTCTGCCCGTCCTCTCCTATTTTTGCACTGATGGATGTGAGGTAAATAATTTTTAGACTCTGAACGAATGGGTTATTCACATTTCGATGTGATAGAAAATAATACCCATTTCTGTAACATAATTAATTAAAAAAATAATTATTTTTAATAATAATAAATAATAATAATAATAAATAAAGTAATTATTAAATAAATAAATTTATTATTTAATAAAATTTAATAAAAAAAATTTTTTTATTATTGGTTTTTTAATGGCAGCCAATAATGTGCCAATAATGGTTTGCCAATTATTGGCATCGGCGTGGACATCCCACGATTTTACCATTAGTGGTCCATTATTGGGTGCCAATAATGGGACAATAATGGAATGGTGGCTCCCATTATTGGGCCATTAATGCGCCAATGGTTTTTTTCCCATTGGGTTTTTATCACTTTTAATTTAATATTTATATTTCAATACATTTTGATTCAAAGTTTCAACTTCAACAACTTTTATAATCTAGAATTTATATTTTAATAACTTTTAATCTAAAATTTATATTTTAATAATTTTTAATTCAAAATTTATATTTCAATAACTTTTAATCTAAAATTTATATTTTAATAATACATTTACTTTTACTTTGTTTTAATATAACTGAAAATAGAACAATTTTATCAGTTTCTATTAAAATTTACCTAAAATTAATAAATTCCATTAAATGTAAAAATTAAAAAATTAAAAAATGTTAAAAAAATATTTTTATATTCAATGAAATTTATTAATTTAAAAAAAAAATTAAATTATAGTCGTTTTTGTTATAATTATAAAAATCCTTTTCATTTTTGGGTATTTTAAGACACTTAAATTGGAAAAATCCCATTTGCAGTTACTTTTGAAAAAACTAGTGCCCTAAAAAAAATAATAAAACGCTATCATTTTTTTTTTTTAAGAAAGAATAAAGAAATGATAGTTTTATTAAATTTCGGGCTTTGAGAGACTATAGATTGACTTATTAGAAATCAATTTTTCGTTCTTTGATGAAATAATTGTGATCAAAAAAACAAAATTCTCCCGAGATCCAAAAAAATTTGTTTCAATTTTTTAAACTCCAATTTTTAAATGATTAAAAAATTATATACTTTTTGAGAAAATTTTAGAATTTTAATTATTTTTTTCCTTTTGTTTTCACTTTACAATAATTTTCCAATAAATAATTATTATAATTATAATTATTTTTTTCTAAAGTATTTTTTTTATAATTATAATTATTTTTTTCTCAAGTATTTTTTTATAATTATTACAATTATAATTATTTTCTTCTGAAGTATTTTTTCAGTACAGGAAAATTTTTGTTTAATGATCACGAAAAATTTTACAGAGAACCATATTAAAGCATACGCAATGAATCATCACGAGAATAAGTAATTAAATTTTAAAAAAATCATTAATCCACATTCAATCGATTCTGCTAAAAGTTTCACTTCTCAAAAATCTAGGAATGAAAGGAAAAAAAATCTTTAACGAGTCCTACAATTCTATAACCACTTTTTCGTGGCCGGCCCAACTATAAGAAATTTATAATAAAAAAAAATCGTAGAAATTTTCTAGTCCGGTGAAATTAATTAATAACTAAAATAATAATTATTATTACAATTATAATTAATTATTAATATTTATTAATTATTTCAGCCTTTTTGAGGTAAATTTCGCTGGACTAATATTAGTAATTTTACAATATGGACCAATGATGCTGCTGCAATTAATGCAGATTGCGAAAGTTCTTCTAATTTTTTCCCCAAACAATTTAAAAGTTCGATTCGAGTTTTCTTGTTCGATAATTAAATAATTATAATAATTATATTAAAGTTGTCGAGTTGACGTAGAAATAATTGCAATTTCTTTCTTATTAGAAAAAAAATTGTTAAAATGAAACATAAAGAAAAAATTACAAAAAAAATCTGCAAAATTGCTTAAATTTAAATATATTTAAATTTAAATTCAAAAATATTGAAATGATTTAAATTTTAAAAAATTAACAAATTAAAAATATTCACTTGAATTTAAATAAAAAATTAAAAACAAAACGATTACATTTAAGCATTTGCATTTAAATAATAAAACCTAAACGCTTGAATAAAAATAATTAAATTGAAATAATTGATTAAATAATTTAATATTCATAAATTAAATAATTTTATTAAATAATTTTAATAATTCAAATTTAAAAAACTCAATTTCTAATTAAATTAAATTTAAAAATAATTAAATATCAAATAATAAAAATTGCAAACGATTTTGTTTGCAATTCGTAACTTTCAATTTTTTTCGAAAGAATCCGAAGTGTTAGCGGTAATAGCGCAATCGGTTAAGTGACTGACTCGTCTGACTCAAACATTTCGGGGTTCGAATCCCGCTATCGGTAATTTTAATAAACTGTTTATTAATTATTGTTGCTAGTTAGAAAATTGTCTATCAGAATAAAAAGACTAATTAGAAAACAAAAAAAACATTTTTTTTCATTATTATTGGACCAAGGCTCTTGAATAGTTTTAAAAATAAAAAAGGTCTGGAACTGATTCTGCATTTTTGAAACATTGAAGAAAAAAAAAGACTCGAAAACTATTGGAAGTAGAGGGAACTAGTTTATATGATAATTAGTTCTTTTTTATTTAGAAAAACGAGATGTACGATTAAGTTCCTGAATCAAAATTGCTTAGAGTGCGAGAAAATTTTAGGAATTTCTCTTAGAGTTTGAAAATTTAAATTTCAAGAACGCTCGAGAGCTTTTAGATTGCTTAAAGTCTAAGGGCATTTACATAAATTCTACTTGAGTGCAAGGCCTTCTTCACGAGAGGCTTTTAATTTTTTTTTTCCTTCTATACTTCTGCTTTCGCATTACTCTCGCGAATTATCCAACATTAATGCTTTACAATTACAATTCTCATATAAAAAAAAATCTATTTACAGCAGAAAAAATATGTACAACTTAAAAAAAAATAGTAAATCATAATTAAAAAAATAATTAAATCTCAAATTGTTAATTACCTAATTAATTGATTTATAAAATCGATATTTAATATCTAATTAACCGTTTTACCGTTCACCTATAATAATTATAAACAGAAATTTAAATAAAAGTTGG